ATAGCAAATTTATTTTCTCAAAACATGAGTTAGTTACCCCAGCTTTAAACCTAAAACTCCTCAAAAGAGTAGTAATTCTGTTTTTTTTTTTTATATAATCTAAGTTTAAAAAAATATTGGTGCACTGATATTAGTACAGTGCACACAATGGGATAATTTGATTACTTTTGTGACCTTTCAGAGGCGTTTTCTCTCTATACTCTTGTCTTTTTGATGCTGCCCCCTGTGATTGAAACAAGCTCTAGACCCCTGTTGCATTCTACCAGCCGCGACAACACTTTTTTGGTAGTGTTACAACATGAGTAAGAAATTGATTGTTTAGTGAAAACAACGTGAAATAAGTTTTTTCCCTGAGGCGGGGGAACTGAGACACATGCACGGCCGGCCCCCGACAGGCAGTTCAAGACGTTCTCAAGAATGCATCAACACATTTAACACACTGTTAGGCTGGTCCATTTGTGAGAAACATACAGTATCTTTAAATGATCGACGTTCATATAGTGCTTCCCCAGAGTTTCAGCGTGGCGGTCCACAGAGGAAGCAGAAGTGACGATGCAGGCGCCACACTCAGCACCTCAAGACCGGAGTAAAGTAAGCCAGTGCTGGGAACCGAAAACTTTTTAGATGATGACATTTATCTGCACAAAACATCTCCATCCATCCATCCATCTTCTTCCCCTTAATCCATTTCTGGGTCGGGGGGGTGGCAGTCAGAGCTGCACCCAATTCACTTAGCACCAGCCCCTCACTGACCCTCTGCAGGTGGTGAGTCCACAGGAGGACGGCTGCTCTGTCAGTGACAATACAGCCTTGATTTTTCAGCGGGGGCTTCAGGCAATGCAGGGTTAAGTGTCTTGCCCAAGGACACAACGACAGCAGTCATCAGTGGGAGTCGGTGGAGAAGGTCCCGTGGTGGGCTTGAACCCACGACCTTCAGGCTCAAAGGCCAGTGCTCTACCAACTGAGCTACTGTCGACAAAACATCTCACCAGTCGGAATTCAGGTTCACATTATGACTTGAGTAAAAACTACACTCTTTCATCCATTTTCCCAGAGTTTACGAAGCAATGGGAGGAAATGGAAAGTTAATTGTTGAACTTATTGCCCTCTATTTTATTTATTATATACATATAGTTGAAACTTGCCCCGCTGCTACTTGCACAGTGTGTTATGTGCGTAATGTCTTCTAATGTCTTCTCATTTCCATAACTTCGCAAACGCACTTTTAATCAGAGCCCTGCACGGCAATTCCAATGCGTATGGACTCACACACCTCTGCTAAATCAGCTTGAATCTTGAATCTAGCAAAATATTATAACTGTTTATCATGATGTGGACTTTTTGATTATTTTTACCTGTTTTTTTGACTATATTTGTTCTTCTTGTATTTATTTTATTAAACTACTTAATTTTCAGTCCTGCATTTTGGGTTCCCTTTTTAATTTCACCCTGTTACACTGTTGCTATTACACTTGAGAAACTATGTGGGTTTTTTTACATTTACAAGCGGCAATAGGACTCAGATGTGAATACAGCGTAAGCCAATCGTTCTGTTCCCGGAAACCTTTCCATCTCCCATGATGTAATGCAGAAACCCTCAGTTAGCCAGTTTACATTACTCACCCCCACATCACAGGCCACTTTGATGGTAACACAGCAGACCAGCATGTCTCTATCTGCAAACCATGCTAATTTCTCCCATTAGGCTACTGCAAGATTTATTTAGCTGTTCTATACTGATAAAAGGATCTTTGACTTCCACGTTTGGATGTAGGAGATAATTGAGCCTCGGGGGATATGGCACTTGCGGTGGTGTTTTCAGTTCATCGCTGGAGGCTGACAAGCTTTGCCCCGAGGCTGTTCTGTGTTCACCTCTTTTGCTGCTCCAGCCCCCGTAGCTGTAACATTAGCGACCATTTTGTCAAGCCTCTCGAGCAATCTGAAGTTGCATAAACTTGACTGACCCTGGCTTGTCTCAAAGAGTGCTTCTACAAGTTAAGTTCACGGTGGACCCACTAATAGCTCCGATTCTCTTTCTCTCTCTCTCTCCTGTTCATGCTGTGCTCTCACTAATGGACAGATGGCATCCCATTGTTTACTGAGCCAAGGTACAATGCCTTATTGGCCATAGCAGCGGAAACTGGGCTAGCGTTTCTGCTTGACCCAGCTTAAATCTGCCACCAAAAAGGAGGAGGGGAAGGAAGACACGAAGAAGAAAAAAAAACGCAAGGCGGATGTAGCCGAGTGTCTGACCAATAGAGTTTGCAGATAATATGATTTCTGGCACGGCGTGTTGACCCGTGTGACCCTGGATACTGTGTGGATTTCTCCCCACTCCCCTTTCGTCCCTCCCCTCCACTCCCTTCCACACCTCAGCGTAATCGAGTGAGCAGTGACAGCCATCACGGATACACTAGCATCAACAGTGGCACACAGGCGGCCCGCAGCCTCAGGGGCGGAGGAGGTCTCTATGACGACGGGATCCAATCAGCTCACAGCCGATCCGTAATGAGGGTTAATCAGGTGATCGATCAGAGGAACACCCCATGGTTTTTTGCAGAGATGAGTGTAGGGGGATCTCTTTGTAGTTTGAGAGCCTTTGGTAAAAGTTGGGCTGCTTAGAGCTGGAGCACCTAACTTTGAAATAACAACAAATGAAGTATGGTATATCATTAGTTTTAATATGCATGTATTTTTAGCCTCTCTCACAACTATATATCAATTTTTATATCCCATTTTTATGTAAAAAAGTCAGCAGATCAGTTTGTAAAAGATTGGTTATTTAAAACAATACAATACAATAGTTTTTAGCACAGCCAGAATAGGCTTTGATATTTTTTTTTTTTTATAGCTGAGGTCCCTAACTACATTTCTCCATTTTTTTTGTTACAGACAAAAAATAGCTAATAACAAGTCAAACCAAAACTGATTGACTGAGTGAAGGTGGTCCTGTATTATTCCCTTTTCTGTCTAAAAAAGCTGATCTAAAGGCCAAAAAAGTGCATCAATATGAAAACAAGTGCTAAAACCAAACTGTTTTGAGAGAAATTAACTAAACTTTTTATAATGTGAAAGTTGGGCACCTCAGCTGTAACTATATGATATCAATAAAAAGATAATCACCTGACAGTGGATAGAACAGAATCTTTTGCCCAAAGAAGCAGCAGTATACATAATATCATGATAACATCGCTAACCTATACTGTGTGGTATAAAAGGACCAAATACTTTTATTTCTCCTAAGAAGACCAGATGAATCTTCCTAAACTATTTTACAGTCAGTTGTACACTCTGAATGAAGTGGCTGAAACAATGACATATCCAAAACGGTAAATGATCTGTACCTTTGCTCCACCACCTGCAGGCAGCTAACATTCAGAGATTATGTGTCACAGGTATTTTCCGAACACAATAATTTGTCCTTAAATTACTTTGCACACCTCATGAAATGTTAATTATAAAATTGGTATTCTTCTGGGTAGATGATAATTGAAGTCAATCGTTTTAATGGAGATTGTCCAAATTTGATCTCCAATCTGAGTCTGGTCCTTCGGTTCATCTCGGTGACTTTCGATTGGTTTGATTGATAGGTGGATTAGCCAATCAAGACTACGTGTGGTCCGTCTGTATCAAAACAAATAATATTTTTTCTTACTATATGACACCTTTATAGGCACTTTCCAGGTGGTACCTCCCCTTTAAAATGTTTTGCATCATATTATAGCTGCTAATGGGAAAAAATATAAAAGATTGCGTAAACTTTTTGCAAACTAATGAGACAAAACCAATTATGTCATGGTTATAAAACTGTTTCTGAGTTAAAGCATTTACTGCATAACTGTGAAATTCTAGGAAGGACAAAAATCCAAGGCACTTGTGGTTTGTAACAAGTCTGCATATTAAGGCCCAGCATGGCCCTCTTCAGGTCCGAACAGATACAACAGTGTGGCAATGTCCCTACTGGGGCTTCACTTAGCAGAAGATACACATTTCTGCCTGTTGTGCCTTTAGTGATTTTCCTTGCTAAACAATAAATGACCAATGAGCTCCTGTAATGATTTAATTTACAAAGCTAGATCTAATACTAATATGAAGAGACTAATTAATGTTATCTATATGTTTGTGTGTGACTCTGAATGTGTGTTGCCTGCGTGTCTATTTTTCTCCTTCTGTATGTGTTGCACTAGAAGGAAAAGCTCCACTGGGGACAGAAGTTGAACGTTAGCAATAGTTACAAACTCTGTCGCATCAGTTGCATCTTTCATGGTATGGTATGGTATGGTATAGCTTTATTTTCACAAGGACAGTGTAATGTAAACATAAGTCAAGAGGAGAGATGCATTGAACCAGGTTGTAGCAGCAATGCTAATTTACACCTGTAGTCCCTGAGCTGTAACTATGCACGAGTACATTCTCCCTGTCAAAAAAATACATAAATAAATAAGTAATCTATGCCAAACAAATCTATCGTTGTTCGAGCAAACCGCAAATAGACAGCAGCCCTAAAATAATACAACATGACCGTGTGCTATGCTAACCACCCCGTGCACCACGATTCTCCAGACACTGATTCAAACATTGGGAGCTCATACATCACTCTGACTGACTGCTTCTGTTCGAGGCCCCTAAATCCCGGACTCCTCCCCTGGTTTTAAACCCTCAGGGCCTGGGAACTGGGGAACTTTTAATTACCCCGCGCCTCCACTCCTCTCGGCTGGCGGCTTGAATGGTCATCATGCTTTTCACTGCTTAGTGCGGCATCAGCGTTAGAAGACAATGTCAGCATGCATGAAGAGTGATCTTAGGGGGTCCGGGCTGAGGTAGGGGTATCATTAGATCAGCCTGTTGGTTAATTAGGCCTGGGGACCCCCTCCTGGAGACAAGAATGGTCATCAGCCCTTAGCCGTGGTATTTTTTATGGCGCTTTGTAGAGTCTGTGACAAGGTTGTTAAGCAGCATGGAGGGCATATGGCGGCAGCACGGACGGACTGGAAGAAAAGTTAAAGCGTGGAGCGGCAGAGGCGGAGAAGGGACGTCTCGCTCCAGCTGTTGTGAGGCGCACGGTCCATGAGAAGAGCCCCCCTGAAGTGACAGAGGTCAGCGGTGTGGGGGGCAGAAGGATGGACGACGCTGAACCTGTACTTTACACCATTCACTAAGGATTATGGGCAAATTTACCCTTATTCAACATTCTAGTGAGCAAAAATGTATTTTTCATCTGATTTATTTCAAGGAATTTGTACTTTTTTTTACTGGTGAATAAAGGCTAATTCTAAAGACCACAAGCTTAAGGTTAGAACTACTCCCATTTCAAAAATTTCATATTTATTATGTATAATAACATATAGAATGATGAAGCCCACAAAGTTACAGACGCTGGGCCATTACACTTCCAAAACTTAGAGCTGTCAAAATAACTGCGCTGGGAGTTCTAATGTGAAAGCTGGGGGTAACCAACTTTCAAACAAACCAAACAATAAATATTTCACTAGTTTCTTGCTCTCTCTAATACATGTATGTTTGGCCTCTGTCACAATATTTAAGATCAGCATTTATTTTTACAAAAAAGTTGAAAAGAGAGGACCACCCTCACGCAACTCTCAGCCCAAACCATAAATGATTGACTCACAGGGATTTTTCTACTCAGTATTCTCATTATAAAATGTTTTCTTTTACTTTGTTCCCAGTATTTTATATATATTAAGACAAAAAACAACATTACCGCAGCTTTAAGGCACAAGAGAACAAATATTAGAACAACTGTTATGTTGAATAATCAAGTGTATGGAGAGATGTCGATAGAGAATGTGTCTTATGTATTGACAACGAAACAAAACATATAATATGAAGATGTTTGCTGAACTTGTCAAACACGTCAAATTCCAACCTTCAAAACACACGTGTGAAAGCAGAGAAAGTAAAAGTCAACGGGATGGATGAGACAGGCCAAAATAATGCTCGGCCCGCACTCGTCACATGAAGTCCCTCTGTTTGCGCTGTATTATGTGGCTCTCATTTAGTATTTATATCATTGTGTGCTCTTGCTTTGTGCAGCTACTTCACAATACTCCACTTCTTTCCAATTAATCACAAAAGATTTGAGTTTCGCCTGCAGCGCTTCAGGACTTACAACAAGCACTCATACATCAAACACAACTTCTCCTTTATTTCTGTCTTTCTTTTTTACATCCCCGACCATCACGTTTTCTGCTTTATAAGCCTCTGAGCCCTTGATCTCACTTTATCACTCTTTCTTTGTCCTGGAGTTAACGTGTACCACTCCCAGTCCTAAGTTTTACAGATTTTTGCCCCATGTTGTGGCCACCTTTCTCTAATGCCTCCAAACCATCTCTGCAGCTTCCCCTCACGCTCCCCTCCTCCTCCTCCCTCCCCCTCCCCCCTTCTCTCCCACTCCTCACTAAAGGACTGGGCAGGACGGGCCCCGGGGCAGGAGAACCAGCAAGTGCCCAGTTCTGTGTTGTGTGACTTGATATTTATAACTCATGGTCATTCTTGAAAGCCACTTTGCTTTTTATGCATTCCTCCCCCCCCCCCACCATCTCGTGTGTGTTTTGTGATTCGAACCAAGCAGATAACTTTAGAATGCTCTTAAACGTGACCACATGCATGTAAAGGTTTGTAAACACAAGTAATGTAAAGCTGGAATCTTCACAAATTTATACACACATTGTTTGCTCCAACAGAAAGAGTCTGTACGTAAAATGTTGCGAACAAATGCGACTGGTATGGCTGCTTTTTTTATTATTTTAAAATGTTATCTTTTGCATATTTTTGAGAAATATCCATGAGAGCCAATGGACTGTGTGAGGTTGGTCCTTTTTTTTTTTACTTTTCTGTCTAAAAAAAGCTGATTGAAAGCGGTGATAGAGGCCAAAAACGCATGCATATGAAAACTAGTGTTAGGATCAAGGAAAGGAGTTATTTATTTTATTACAGTTGTATGTGTTCAATTTCAGTTTAAATTGTTGGTTTCAAAGAATAAAAAAAATACAAAATAAAACACGTGTTCATTATGTGTTTTTTTTTTCTTGATTGCAAAATTACATACAATACATAAAACAAAGAAGAAATGCAACCGTATCAGGTGATTTTAGTTACAGTATGGGGTGGGAGCTTATAAATATAACTTCAAAAAGAGTAAACAAACAAAAAATCCTAAAATATGTGTGTTTGTATATTTATACATGCATAGATATAATAAGTTACCTAATGTAACTGTAGTTCTACGAATAGATGCGTAGCCCCTTAGCCCAAGGGGCGTAACACCATGACGTAGAACTGAAAGTTACAATAATAATTCCTATTTATTAGCTTGAAATAAATAAGTGAACATTAACAAAGTTTTACCCATTATATTCCTAAGTATGGCAGCAACTCGGAAATTTGACAAACAGAAAGCTTGACAGAAACCACAAATACGGCCATATTTTGAGATTTTTCAGATTTTTCTTGGCAGAATTCCTGTTTACCCACAGAACTGTAGTGATTGAGTGGGCTGTGTACAAGTCAGGTTTGTGTGTGGTGGGATGACTCAACAGGTTGTGCCATTGATGGGGACATTAATAAACCGAAACATGTTTTTTTTGTGAATGAAAAATATAATAAAACTTGTCAACTGCATGAAGAGACAACACAAAGCAACTCAAAGTTTATTTCAGCTTGCCTCCCAGTCACCCCAAAACAAAAACTCTACAACTAAATACAACAACCAATCTTGCTCACTGTTTTGTGGATAAATAACTTTGGTGCACAAACTTCTCTGGGCAAATACCTCAGAGGATTCCCTTGTATTTGGTGGTATTTAGAGAAGTATGTGTTGTTGTTGATGGGGGAGATGTTTGAATGCACATATGGTCTGGTGTTGAGGAGATCGATGGAGGGGTCAAGATATGTCAGCAGAGGTAACGCACAGACAAGAACGAGATTGTTTTCTCTGTCTCTGCTCCGTCCGTATGCAGCCAAGTGGTCTGTGCTCACGGCTGCAGAGGGCAAGCCGCTGCGAGAGAGGCTGCCGCAATATAGTGAGGGAATTGTACAAAATGACATAACACAAAGGGGTAAATGTTTAGCCACTGCCCTCATTTGAAAGTCAAAATAGTTGTTAAATGCATCAGCAAAAACATAATTATAACCTTGAGGTGCTAATCGATATGTATTTCGCATTTTTTGGCAATGCGCTTATCGCTATAGCAACCTCTGACCTTTGCCAGACCAATCATTTGCTTAATCAATTTTACTCTAATTGCTTGTTGTAAGCAAGTTGCCAATTTAGCTTTTTCCTGATAGAAGTCTAAATATAGTTTCAAACAATCAGCTTTTTATTGTGTTTACTTCCTTTGGTTAATTACTTTGATATTGTTTGAGCTTCATTTCAAATTAGGACAAGTATAGCTCTCCAAAAATGATTGGTATGTGCTGTATTCGAATTAGCATATGGTTATTTATAGTGAGAACAGTTCCCTTGATTTTATCACAACTCTTCATTCTTGCTATGCCTTGCCATTAATAGACCATTAGCCGTTATTTTGGGATATTGGCCTCCACTGATAAGTGTGGGAACGAGGCATGTGGTCCTGGTGCCTCTATACATAAGGGTCACTATTGTATGTAATAATGTTACAGTGGTCCTAAGACGTCTGACTTTCTAAAGCCCGAGTATCAATGTCAGTACAAAAGGGCATGAATTCTAATTTGCCATAACCAAGCAAAAAGTGGCTCTGCTGAAACGGGGCCAAAAATGCCCACCATGACTATATCAGGCCATGAAATGGAATTAGCATTTGAAAAACCTAGTTGCATGGTGAATTTTAGATGTATTTAGAAAGAAAATTCTGTCTTTAGGGCAAATCAGTGACATGGCTAATGAGTTAGCTGGGGCTGGCACCAAACCAAGGTAATAATTCACTGAGGCTTTTTATGACCCCAAGTCCTCAGATGGCCCGTGTCATGTTTTTTAGGGTCGGGGCAAGGGGCAACACAGTGGGGAGTCTATATATGGGTTTGTCTGTTATACTTTAATTTAAAACTTAATTTGCGTCTTTGTTTAATACAGTGCTGAGAACAAACTAAAATTTAGTTAACAACTTGTTTCAATTGAAGTCTTGGAGAAGCAGTACGGACCTAAAAATTTTTTTAACATTTGTTTTAACAAAATTAACATGTGTTTGTACCAACAGATTGAGTCTTTGTGGAAAATCCAGATCACAGCAAGTTGTCTTAAAAAAACATAGTTGTAAGAAAGAGCCCTGTGAGTCACTATTTGACGGTTTAGGCTTTTCCACTTTTATGTCTGAAAAAGCTGATCCAAACATGTGAAAGAGGCCAAAAAATGCATGCATATGAAAATAAAAATGCTTTGGATCTGGCATTTCAAACTCAGGCTCGTAGACCAAATCTGGCCTGCAAGACCATTTTTCGTGGCCCCTAACATGATTTTCTTTCATCATCATTATTATTAACTACCATTGATGGTAATGGCCGACCAAAGCATATTATACATCTATTATACATTTATTTTCTCAGGAAAACAAATAAATGTAATTATTTTAGAATCTTAACCCAAACACATCATTAGAAAGTAAATAGTTAAAAGTAAAACAATGTGCTAAGCTTTATATTTGGTCCAGTTTTGTTTAAATCTAAATAATGAACATATTTTGTTTTCAGAAAAATCCACATGTCACAAAAGAGTCATGTCCAAACACCTTCATAATGTAACAAACAATTAGAAGAAACAGAAATCCCTTCTATTCTTTCGCCCCCGACCAATTATTATTCCACCTCTGCTTTAGATGTAGGTCCCCCAGCTTTAACTTTCCCTGTCAACTTTGAGATGCAACAAGGACTAAATGAAGCAAACCGGTAATTAAATATTTCCCATCTTTTCTTAACAATTTCTGTCTCATTTTCCTTTGTGCGCTTATAAACTTAGGACAGTTTATTTTCAAACCCCTCACTTATCAAAGCCCGCACAGGACCAGCTCTTTACCGATGGCATTTGCAGCCTCCCCGGTGGCCAGTCGTCCCCTGGTAGTCTCATTCCCCGCGCCGTGGCTCTCCCCGAGGGTGTCACCGGTGGAGTGTGCGCCGGCTCTATCTCCCCAGCGCAGGTGCATAACTATGACAGCTCAGTCCACAGGTAATAGTCAGGTTGGCCTCCCATGGGACAACCCGTATACGCAGGCTCGCCCAAGAGAGCGCAAACCAGGAGCGGGGTGGGAATAGGTCACTCAGCGAGGGGGGGCTCTGAGGTACGGTGAGTGGTCCCCTGTGACATGCCCACTGCCACCAATCACTTTGCCTCATACATAAATAAAGAATTGCTTATTTGAGTTGTCTAAGTGGCTAAAGATGCGGAGAAACATCTGCCAAGGAACGGTGAAAGAGGTCGCGATCTGACAAGTGTGTGATAAACGACTCTATATGAGGCTCTATTTCCCAGAAGCACTTGGCTTGAAGCTGTGGACCCATGGAGCAAAAATGTTCATGAATATTTGACACCTGCTCTGCTGCACTTTTGCTACAGACTTAAACTGTGCTTTTATTCTGTTATTGAAATAGGGTATCTCCTTACTCAGATCGGTTGATTGCAGATAGCACCGCAATGGCAAGGCAGGGTTATTTGTATAGCGCAGTCCATACACAAGGCAACTCAAAGAGCTTGAGAAAATACATTTAAATCACAGAACGCAACATCCAGGTTTTCGCAGTGCATTCAAAAGAGTGAAGCTACAATTGGCCAGTTGCATGCAGAGCTAAACAGTTTTTAACCCGTGTTTCAACATTGTCAGAGTCTCACATTAACAGGAAGACTGTTCCAAATTTAGCTGCATAAATCTGAAGTGCTGCCTCCACATGTTTGGTTCTGACTCACTGTCCCTGTGCTCCTCCTCAGAGTCCCAGCAGGAGGCTGTAGTCCCCGTGCTCCTCAGAGTCCCAGCAGGAGGCAGGAGGCTGTTGCTGTCTACCATGTCAGATATACTTTGGTGCGAGGCCATGGAGAGACTTTTTTTTACAACTTATGATGGTCATATCTCAATTTTTTGTTATTAGGGTTTGCTTGTTATTAAATTCCTACACTGCATTTTTCCTACACTGTTTTGTTGCTCACTGGTTCTTTTTTTGTAAATGTTCTGATTTGGTTTTTAACTGAAAATGGAATGTAAACTGAAGCTAAATCTGAATCTGATATGCTTCCATGATGTACTTACTATAATGATTTGAATGTATCTTTTTTGGCTTTGTATAGTATTCATTGTATACAAACAAACTGCCTTGCCTCTTGTAAATTACATAAAACGCATACTTCATTATTTAGAGAAGTCAAAATGTTTCTAACTTGTGCCTGCCATGATTATATGTTAGTCGTGTATGGTGCATCCGCAGGTGGTGATTTGATAGCCACAGTCGTGCTTATAGCAGGTGTTTGTAGGCCTCTCGGAGCGTCCATGTGCCCCAACACGCTCAGGCTATAACTGACAGTAAGTGTGCATTCAAAGCATGGATCAAAGTGGATTTGCACGCATGTTCTTGAAGACTTTTTCTTGCTAGACAGGCATATTTGGTACGGACGTTGAAGAGAATGGGAGGGGAACAGAGCTATTATGTTGTCTGTTCCTGTAACCACAACATTTGAGTCAGACAGTTTACTCAGTTATGGAAACATTCCTCCTCCAGTGTCACAAGACTATTTAACTTTCCCAATCTCCATACAGAATCAAAAAAAAAAAACTCTCCAACAAGACAACACTAACAAGCCTCTCCATCCGCAGACTCTCGGCCTTTATCTTTAGTTTTATGAAGGGAGGCCTATCTTTGGACGATCATTTTGACATCATGTACACATTCCTCCTACCAGATGCTGCCTTGTGATATGCTGTGTGTGTTCCCCCTTGCAATGAGCGTCAATGGGCTGCTTTCTTCTCTGGCATCATCAACACACAAACATATAGGCCATGTCAGCCACAGAGCCCATTTAGCCGATGGAGAGCGGTGGCTGAGGGGGAAACAACCACGATAGCGGATTGTAGAAAAAACACCTTTTGGTCCAGGAGGGGGGGAACAGACAATGCTTTGTGGAGAGTATAGTGGGAGTCTACCAGTCTATTGAATCCACTGACGCCCAGCTGCTTAAGCACGTCAGCTCTACTATTGATCATTGTTCCATGCATGCTTGCTTTAGTCACCTCCCATCCTCGAAAGGAGCTCGGTGATGATCAATGGGGCGGCTCCGATGGAATGGCCGAGGGTCTGGGGCACCCCACAGGTCTCCGTACTGGGCCCACTCATCTTGTGACTGATCGCCTGTCGCTCTCCTCCCTCTCCACGCCCGTGCCTGGTCTGAAGAGGCACTCGACCTGTCCCCTCAATTAAACCCACACAGCAGGGCAGGGGCTGTTTCTTGTAGCGTCAAAAAAGTGACCCTTTTGATTAGCTCATGGTGAGAGGAGGGGACGGATGCCCAAAATATGTCTCAATTGTTAGTGGACGAAATTGGGGATAACTACAATACAAAGATAATTCTATTTTGCCCGTATTGTGTTCATGGGTGTTGTTGTGGATGGAATTTTTGATTATTTAATTGAATATTGGTCGTCTTTGCACATGACTTGAGACTTTGCATCTGTTTGGAAATTGAGGTTTTTTTCCACATGAATCCCTATTGAGCTATTATTCCCAATATTACACTATTAATAATTACAACCCAGACACACATTACGACTCTTTGAATTATCCTCAAGATAAATTCTCTAAAAGATAAAAGCTTTAACGTTAGTCGCCTGATCCTGAGCGAGAAGTTGTGGTGACCCCAGAACACAAAAGCCATAAGGAACGAATAAAACTATTGACTCCTTACGAGGAAACCAATTTGTATATTTTTCTTCTCTGTCCGCATTTTACGACTGCATTTAAAAGAGCTAATGTCTGTCATCTCATCTGTTTGGTGCAATTAAATTCAGCTTTTAGTGGCAATGCAAGCAGGCCAAGGCTAAAATGTCCGTCAGAAGTGGAGGTGCATATATAGGAGACATGCTCAGTTAGATAGTCCGGTCATAAAGGATGTATTAATGGTTTATGTACCCGGCTGCAGTGTTGTGTTAATGGCAAATGGCATTTACTTGGTGCTGCCGAAGAAGGCCATTCAATCCACTGTATGGTTTATCTATCATGTCAAGCGCTCAATAAAGAGGCCCTCAGTAATATCAAAGGAGACTCCACACAAAAGCCGTACCCCTGGGCTAGATTTAAACCTTTTCTTGTGTTTCTGTATAACAAAATGAATAGTTTATATTTTCAAAATCCGTCTGAAATTAATCAAATTTAATTCCTCTTTTCGCCGTGGCTAAGTACATGCACATAGACACAGAGAGACAAGGCAACAAAGACACGCGCACATGGTGAAGCAAACCCTATTAAAATAATTTAAGGCCTTGTTTCACATCTTGTGTTCTGTGAAATAGCTTGTGTCTGGACCAATGAGTGATTAAAATATTCGCACATTTGCATCTGCAATTTGTCTAGAGGCTTAAGATCAATAATAAACATGGCTCTGCTTTTGCCTTCCAGGTTTCTGACATGCACAGTACAGGGTTAGGGTTAGGGTTAGGTAACTTGATACACAACACAAGAAGAAATGGGAAATCTGAGAGGTTTTGATCTACCCAGGACTACATTTTACTAATTACAGATTACTAATAAGCACCATATCAATTAGTTATTTTCCTCTGTCATAAGTCAAACAACAATTACATATGCACATATTCACCTAACCGAGATACAAAAATCCTAATCTAGTTACACAGATGCAGGAAATTCATTAGAAATAATATTTTACTATTGTATTACTTGTACACCATTTACCATTTGCAAATTCCTAGTGACTCCCTGCTACCTACAATGGCACTAAAATAACACAAATGAATTCAACAATCAAGTAACAATGTAGCGTGTTTTCTTTCGATTAGGTAAACAGGACAAATCTAACTCTAAGGATTTCCGTTTCAGACAAAGTTAAGAAAACATTGGCGTCCACTTGGCAGATGAGTTTGGGTTAAAATTGCAAACACATTTATATATAATGCAACCTACTCACACTTAAAGTCATGCCGGTGTTTGTCTGGCATTCCTTTATCACCTGTGATGTCATCAAAGTGAGCCTGTGTGCACCGTCTTAACAGGAATGCTTAAGTAGATGCGCCGCGGATAATGATGATGAAGGTTATCATGGAGTAATTACTGTGCATGGCGGATTCCACAGCTACGACAGGGAGAGATTGAGCGGGGAATGAGGAAGAAGGGGAATGGGGAGAGAGGGGGTGGGGGGGACGAATCTCTAAATGTGTCACTTGATTGAAGTGTGTAAGGTTCTGAGCTAATTACATCCAGAACCATAGGAACAGATGCCGCACTTGCGCATCAATAAATGCTTATAAGTTACTTATTTAGGGCTGCCTGCCATGCAAGGAAATGGCATGACTTAAAGCACAAGGGCCCGGGGGCTATTCTCCGCTCTTTGTCTTGTCATCCTGCATCTTTTAAATGTATTCCGAGCTTCAAAACAACACAGGGAGACAGCAGGCCGAGCAAAAGAGAAATTGGAAAGAAAAAAAAGAAATATTCACAGTTTGCAGGCACTATTATGTTTGCTGTTCGGGTTGTCTGCCATCAAAATGCTGCTTGTCTAAGATTTCGTCGAGGTACAGAAGTGATGGTAGCTTTGTTTTTAAGGCTAGATGTACGTTTGATGGACGGCAGCTACATTGAGAGTTTTAAGATAAATAAGAAACAGCGATACATTACCTTGTCAAGACTGTGCTGCGTTTATCGCTCGGTTTGTGCAATAAACAATGTCATTCCTACGCGTCAGATGTTTCCAAATTTGGTGTTTTGTGTTTTTATCGCGGCTTCCAGAGTGACATCTTGACATGTTATTATCCTTGCTGATCACGGAGAGCGGATCACAGACAGGCGCGCGCTTTGAAAATAAAACACCTCAGCTTCAAAACCAGATATTAAATCTTTGCTATGACAACAGCAGAAATCTCATTTTGTATTTAAGAGCTGCAGCTATACTGTTATTAGGTTTAAAAGTTGGTCACACGGAAAAACTTAAAAATGAAACTATATGTAGGCATTTGGGTTATTAATGTGATTTTTTTATCTTATTTTGGGAATATACTTTGCATCAGTCAGTGAGTCGCTCTCAGAATCCTCCAGTGACTCTTTGTGATAATTCTTAAGAGCATTACTATTTCCCTCATAAATACTCTAAATGTAAAAAGCTGTTTTGCAATTGATGATTGTCACAAAGAATAATTAGACAGTTGTGCATTTTTCATGAGATTAATTCATGTCTTTCTAATGTTCATTTTGTATTCTCACACTGCATCCATTTGCTGCCATATTAACATATTTGAAATATGTATGATCCTAAGGAATTGGCCATATGCTGGAAGAGGCTTGTGTACACTGGGTTTAACCATGTGAAAATCCAATACAAATGGGCTTGTTTGTTTGCTAAAATTTACTGTTATATGTTTAGAATTGCTACTCTCATATTAGACTTGTCTGTTCTTGTTAATCATCGGCTGTAGAAAAAATCGTGGGAGCATTTTGTGCCAAACTCGCAGATGAGCATGCACATAAAGCAGGAATGTAATGTTATGGGCGCTGTCATCTCTTTGCCGAGTGTGAAGTTCATTAACCTTTACAAGAATGCACAATTATGGGAGCCCTCTGTCATCCCTGTATCTCTACGCATAAACGGCCACAGATTTGCTTATAAACATGCACTTTACATGATTTTGCGAAAAGCCTTGTGTGGACATAGATTTCGGTGGATTCCAACTTTTCCATTACATCAGTGAATTGGTATTAACAGACTTCGCACATTGGTCTTGCCCTCTCCCCTTGCCACCCAAACACAAGGCACTGCGCGTATGTTGCCATTTTTATAAGGAGTCCATTTGGGCACGTTGCCAGATCCCCTGCTTTACATTTGCTCCCAAAGCTAATTTATCACATCCATTCCTTTCCATTGCAATCTAGCCATCTTATAAACACAGAGCTGAATGAAAAGTCTAGCTCTCATAGTTTAAACATCATCAATTGAGTTTCAGTAATCAGCACAAGACATTTACACAGAAAACTATCAGTAATGAATTCAGGATGTACAGTTAAAAACAACACGATTTTGATTTTAATTAACAGTCTATTAAAGGTATGAAATGAAAAGGCGTTATACATAAACCGCTAAACTGTCATATAGCCTAATTATTCTTGAAGCAGCTGGAGTAGACTTTTTCTCACAGTTTGGAGAGTCTTTAAAAGGCTCAGTGTGAGCTGAAAAAAAAATGTGATCCAAGGTGTCTGCTTTCCCCTGCAGGGCACGATGTAGAGAGAGGCAGAGAGAGCAGAGTGCCGTATTTTAATGCCTTTAAATTACAGTTCACTTTGTCAACTTGTTTGAGCAGAGAGCAAAAACATATAGAATACAGTATGTAATGTATAGGGGTTTAGAAGCAGTGCACGGAAAGAGCACATTAGAAAATAAGATGCTTTAATGAACTATAAAATTGTAACAAAAATAATCACATAATCCTAATCCCGGGTTCGTGGTTTTGGGCACATTTCTAATCTGGGTTTAAATTACTGTATAAAAACATGACACCACCTAGAGAAAACATTTTGCCCCCTTTAGCCCATTTTGGCACACATTTCGCTAGAACATTTTGGACAAATCGACAAAATGTATAATTTGTTGGTGAAACAGTGATAGCAAGCCCCGGCGATCCAAGATGGCGCCATATTCAAATGAATGGTTTGTGCTCAGCCAGTGGGCGGTGACATACTGTATTAGCGGAACTCGCCTGGAACTCGCAAAGATCCATGAGAAACTCGCCTGTATTTGGGCATCGTCAGGTCCTCCCGGTTCTGCGCAGTGGATGATCTCCTATGATGCGTTGCGCGAAATACGTGTGTGTGGCTCTCATGCAGGAGTTAGAGCGGGGCCAGACAGACAGAGTTTGTGGCACTAAAGTGTAGATTTAAAGAAAACCGAGGGATTTAAGAAGAAAAAAAGTTCAGGATGACAAAGGACACTAAAATCCCCACAAAATCTGACCTTTATGAAAGCTGTAGGTTCTCTGTCAGCTGAGGTTGAGCTGTTTTAATTTACATTGAGTTCTATGGGGAAAATGTCTGGGTAGCCCACGTGAATTTAGTCTGGTTTGGTCTGCACTGCAAGAATCCCCCGAGCACATGAGTTCTTCAGGTCCAAGCTAGTAACA